GAACATCTGGCGTTCGTTGCAATATGAAGAAGCAAATAAAACTGGGAACAACTTTTATCAGCCCACATGTTCTTAGAGCTACTGATAGCCCTACATACCTGTAAAGAAGTGATGAACTACTAGTCCTTTTGGTACACACTAAAACTATTTGATAGAATTTTTTTTAAAACATACACACATATGCATAAAGACATATGATAGAAGAAAAACACAGCAATCCCTGAATTAGGTTAGATTACTCTTTAACACTGAAAAGCTATGTAATTTTTTTAATGATACTAGGGATTGAACCCAGGGCCTTTGTACTTACCTACACATCCCCAGGGGTTTTTTGTTTGTTTGTTTTCTGATTTTTGGCTTTTGTTTTTGTTTTAAAACAAGGTCTTGCTAAATCACTAAGTTGCCCAGGCCAAGCTCCAACTTTTCAGTCTTCTTGCCTCAGCCTCTCATGACCACTGGGATTACAAGCATTTACTATACCTAAGTTTGAAAAAAAGACTTAAGGAAAGCTACATTTTTTATTTTTACTGTCTTGTAACTATTTAATTATAAAAGAAGGTTGGTAGGAAAACAAGAATGCACTGTGAAATATCTTTTTCCTATTTACAGCTGTCTGACATTTACAGCTGTCTGTTTGATTGGTAGGCAAATTGTGTCACTATTTAACTACTTTAGTTTAGCACTGTACACTGAGAGACAGACAGACACTTGGCTATCCTTGCAAAATACTTCCAAGCTGCAATTCCTAGGAGCATTTTCCTGGCAGCAAAGCAGTACTGCTGACAATTTATTGTCACGCTGACTCAGTACTACCAAAAGAAACAACACAATTTTAGGGACAGCTCATCCATACTTAGGCTGTGCATAAATACACTCATACAAACAAGACACACGTTCTGCTAGCCAACTTACTACCATCTTGCATTTTCTCACTCATTATTGATTATCAAATAAGATAAAATGTACATCTACATCTTTGGCACCTGACTACTTGAGAAACTACAGCAGTTCCAGGGGAAGAAATAGAGAAGAAAGCAGCCTGTCTAATTCACCGGCATCAAGGTTTCTGTCAAAAAGAAATCTGCTCATCACACAACAAAATAAAGTATCAAATAACTTACTTTAAAGTAATTAACTTTATTGTTAATGCTACAGAAAATGTACCCTGCTCAGCTGGTCAAAGAAATAAATGGAAAGAGTTACTTACTCTTAAAAAAAAAAAAAAAAAAAGCAGTTTCAGCATTATCAGTATTAAATCATAAGTAAGACTCTGCATGTCATATCTTCCTCAACCTTGGCCAATTAAACAAATAAATTTTATCTTTTTGCCAGAAAGTATGTAGTTCCTTCAGTACAATTTTGAGACAGAAGAAAAAAGACTGAATATTTTGAATATTGTAGTGCTATTTTCTAAGACTGAAATTACCTCAAACTAGACAGACAACCCTAGAAAAGCAAAGTCACCTACAATCAAATGTGATATTATTTCTAACACTTTCTAGCATAATAAACTTTTAGTAAGGGCTGATCATCCCACTTGGGACAAAAATTAAATACGCATTGAAGTAACTACAGTAACGAATGTTTCTCTTTTTTTTTTTTTTTTTCTGTTTCTTGAGAAAACATCTGGCTGTGTTGCCCAGCTTGGCCTCCAACTCATGTATTTGAGCAGCTCCTACTGGGCTCTCAGCCTCCCAAGCAGTGGCTAGGACTACAGGCAGAGCCATGACACCTGGCTTCGACATTTTTTTAACAATACAAATTTATCAACAGAATCACCATCTTACACCAAATTGTCAAATTTAAACAGAACCAAAATAAACTTCAAAAATAAAAATGTTTATGCTCCCATTTAGGGATAAATACCAAAACAAGAACACATTAAGAAGAAAAGTAAGGTGTCTTTTACACTGTCATCGTCTTGGAGCTTTATGGATCATTAGATAATACATTCTGATTACCTACTCTAGGTCAATCAGTGATCCTAGTAATAAGAAGTAATTCCTGAATGAACTTAAAGGACCTTCTGTCTAGGACTGTTCAATTCCACTTATTTATGTAAATTTGAGTAAACTGTAATGTCTTTGGGGAAGGTGTTAAACTCATGTAATTAGGGCACCACCTTGTATTCAAGTGATGTCATAAAATTTCTAAGGAGTACTCAAGCAGCTATTGAAAGTTAATGTTATTTAACAGACTCCCAGAGTTTACTAATACGCCCAGCATTGCTCTGTGTATATATTAACTCATCATACAGTATTTTCAGTACACTTATGAAATTCTTAGGAAGCTTGCTGATAATATTAACTAGTTTTTATCAATGAATAAAAGTGAAGACAACCACATTTTCTTAGTTTTTGAAATGAAAATTATTCATTTTGAACAATTAGGGCCACCCACACTAACATAAATGTAGCCAGTTAATTCTCCTGACTTCAATCCTTACAGAGCATTCAGAACAGAACAAAGTCCTGTTTGTCCAAAGTCCAAAGTCATCAGCATGCCTGGAAGGGAAGATGCGAAGATGCTGTAGCTCTAGTCTCTTGCTTTCCTCTTTTGCCTCAACAGTCCCTTAAGTCCTAACTACTTTTGTTAACAAACACATCCCCTGGTATCAGCCAATGGCCTGGTCCTGACTCACCTATACACAGAGCACAGGAGCCCCTCCCAGAGAGCCATCTGGACCACACACTGGAGTCAGGCAGCACTATGCCTGCTTGCACGGCTGTCTGTGATCCCCATTCACATACACCCCCACACACCTGCCCATGAATCCTTAAAGGACAGAGCTGCGTGTTTTATCGCCAAAGCTCCCAGCGCCTGGCACCAAAACTGCTACCTACCAAGAGCACAATAAATGACTTTTAAATAACATCAGCACATGAATATAGAAACTTTGTAAGCTAACAGAAAAACCAACCTGATTTTATTCCTGAAATATAAAGGGAACTGCTAAAAAAAAAAGTATGGATACCTAAAACACCATATGTTTGATCATTTTAAAAAATAGCAAGGGCCATAAAAAAATCAACATATCTTTTCAGGTTCAATGACAGTCTTCAAGAAACTGAAAATGTCAGTAATACAGGAAAACTCCTTACTTTCCTAACTGTGGGAACAGTTGGCCCGGGCTAAGTGAGTATTCACAGGGCTGACTGCAGACTCAGCCCTCATCAGGGATTTCCAGCTCTAGTATTAAGGACACAGTAAACTCCAGCAGCTGCCAGGGAATGCAGGCAGCAAAGATGTACTGTGCGCACCTGACTGTGCCAGCCCCTGGGGGAATCTGTTGTAATAACCTCTCTGACAACAACTTAATATTATTTTCACTTCTCCAATTTATTCATGCTATTAAAGGTAAATTCTGCCAATTCATTCACACTTCACCAAAAGCAGGAGTCATTCTTCTCAGTTGTGAGGCTTAACGCTGAAGGAATTAGAAGCTCCCAGACTCAAGTCAGTGATGGCAAACCTTTTAAGAGATCAAGTGCCAAAAGTACAACTCAGAACCACTCACTTATTGCAAAGTGCCAACACTGCAATTAAACCTGAATACTGAGGATTTGGTTTAGAAAAAAATGACTCATACATTAACAGCTTTTCACCACCACTGGCTCAGGCATCTTCTGCCCCAAGTGGAGAGAGAGGCCCGCAAAAATCACAGCACAGTGCAAGGGATTCTCCAGCTGTGAGGAAAGGAAGAGCACTGCCAGGTTTTCAAAACCAATGGTCTTTCAGCAACACAGAGAGGGTACTGACGACAACATTACCAGCGTGGGGACACTGAGAGAGTGCCCAGGTTCAATCCTGTAGTTTTCTTTTCTCCACCTCTACTGTCTTCTGTTCTTTCTCTCCTCTCCCAGAAATTCTGGATTTCTTTACAGTACTGGCTAATTAGCAAAATGCAGACTGTGGGAAACTCTAGAGTGAAAGACGTCATCTCTTCAAAGAATAAATTGTAAGAGGAAAAAAAGAAATGGAAGAAGGACTTTAAATATGAGCCTGGACTGCAGGGTCTCTCCCACCTGGCTCACCTGCAGCCCATAAGAGACTTTAAATAAAACTAGCTATAGTCCATAGGCATTATTTGGGTCAAAGAAACAAAGTTAAATAGACAGACAAATAGATACGATACTTATGAGACAACTGGAAGTTTTCCTGAAAAACTCGTTACTCTGTTAAGGAATTATTCTTAATTTTAAATTTTAATTTTCAACTACATGAACAAGTCCTATCTCACTAAGTACTTATAGCTGGGTAAACTGCCTGCCAGACTGTTACATATAAATCCAAACCAAAAAAAAAAAAAAAAAAGCATTTACATGATCCACAAAATAGTTCCTAACTTAGCCAGTAAGTTCTAAATTTTCTGGCAGGTCTGTGGATAGATGATATTGATCTAAACATGGGTACAAAACAAATTAGGGTTTTAAAAAGCTTTTTTTAAAAGCTTATACATGTCTAATAAATAATACAGCCCTAAATTCACCAAGAGGATTGCCGCGGATAAAGAAAGGGGAAGGGAAGCCATCTGAAGAAAGTCAAAATGAGTAGGCACATCTCTGGTATCCAAAAATCCAAGTGAATAGAGAACTCTGGAGTTTATTTTTACCGTTTGGGTTTCCTGGGAATGTTAGTCTTTCCCCAGGTTTCCCAGGACCAGGGTCCACTTAGACAGTCTTCGCCGCGGTGAGAGTGACCCAAAGCCTGCTTGCGGAGCCCCTGCCGGGTGCACGGCTTTGTAGCACTAAGGCGAGCGACCTCCCCACTGCCCGCCCATTGCTGAGGTGACCGCGCCGCTGCAGGCACCGGCACCGGCCCTCCAGGAGCAGAGCCTCCGCTCTGGTTTCTCGGTCCCTTTCCCCCTTCATTCTGCACAGCCACGCATGACTCGCACTAGGACTGCGCTCAGCCCGCCCTACGCGCCGCGTCTCCAGGGTAACCAGGCGCTGACGCGGGGTCGCCGGCCAGGGCTGCAGGGCCCCTCCCGCCCGGCTCACCTGCAGCCCGCCGGGGTCGCCCCGCACCCGCGTGGTGAGCTCGTCGTGCAGAGTTTCGTCGTCACCGCCCGAGCGGTAGACGAGGCGCAGCGGCACAATGCTCTGGCGCTCCAGGAAGCGGTTTTCATTGCTCCTCTGCAGCTCCGTCCAGGAGGCTTCTCCTTCCAGGCGGGAAGATAAGCAGGAGAGAGCGGAGATAAAAGGCAGAAATCATGACCCTGAGCCCCGCGAGCCTCCATCCTGCGGCCCGGCGCCTCCGCAGCGTCAGTCCCGCCACCGCCGCCCGGCCCGATCTGGAAGGACGCGGAGACACCGGCTGGGGCGCCGGACCAGCCCGATTCAGCATCCAGCCTCGCGGCCCAGAAGCGCAGGACCCCTTTCCCGGGTCCTCCACTCCTGTCCTGCAGAGAGGAAACAGGCTCCTGACCCTCGGAGGCATCCGCGCGCCCCCTTGGATGGATTGTTCATGCACTTCCCACCGCCCTTCCAAATTAAAAGGAAAAAATCTCCTCGCGCGTTTAGGAAATGGGGCGCCCTTTTTAATGCGGCGGGGGTTCCGCAGATGCCCGGGAAACGTACGCGCCTAGGGCACCGCGAGTGGCGAGCTCACCTGCCGGGCCGCAGCGCGCCGCGGGGCAGAACCCGAGTGCGCAGAGCAGCAGCCAGGGGAGGGACGCGGCCGCCGCCTGCATGGTGCCGCCGCGCCCGCGCTCAGGAGCTGCTCATGCCCGGCCGCCGCGCCCCGCTCCGCCCGCGTCCCGCTCCGCCTGCTCCGCCCGCGCCCGCCGCTGCCGCAGGCTCGGGGCTGCAGCGCGCTCCGAGGCGCCGCTCAGTGCTGCATTGTGCTCCGCGGCGCTTCCGCCGGCGGGGGGAGCGAGCGAGCGCCGCACTGGGCGGCCGGCCGTGGGGGAGCGGCTCTGGCACCGCCCACCGCATCCCAGGCGAATGCTCGGCGGGCCGGCGGGCGGGCGAGGAGCGCTCGACTGGGAGCGGCGCCCGCCGCACTTGCTCGGCGCCCGGGACGGCTGGGAAATGTAGTTCTCTGCGCCTGGAGCTGCGAGTCCTGCAGGAGGAAAGTGGGGGCGGGGAGGTCGCGGCTGGCAGGCCACCCGGCACCCACGTGCCCGCCTGCGACGCTGCAGCAGCCGGGAGTCACCCAAGCGAGAAGTGTGGCTCCTACAAGGCAGGAGGTGCTGAACTCAGTGTCAGAACACCCAGCTCTGAATACGCGGCAGTCTCTCAACAAACGCTTACCGAAGACCTGACATCTGCGCGGCTGTGAACAACGGTGAGGGGCACGGCTCAGTAAGGAAGCCGTATTTATTTTTCATTTGTTGTTTGCCTGTGTAAAAGAAGTCCTGGTGATGCCTGGAGGAGCCAAAGAAAACTGCCTGGCAAGGTCCAGGCAGAGGACTTGAAGTTCGAGGCCAGCACTCCACGATGCACTGTCCTTTCCTAAATACCTGCCTGCTCCAAATCTATGTTTGCAAACCTGATCTGGGGAGCTCTACTTTCTCAGGCAGCTTATTCTATTTTCCTCTCGTTCTAAATGTTAGAAATTCGTGAAAATAAAATAGTAATAAATCATTGCTGACATGATGAAAACTAGTATTTCACAGTTTTTCCAACTGCCCATGTACCTACCTATTCATTTGATCCCTGGGTCAACAATTTGATCAGAATTATTCCTGTTTTAGTGAGAAGAAAATGAAGGAGCAGAGCTGTAATTTTGAATACTTAAGCCACTAGCTACATGTAGCTAGTTATATTTAAATTTAATTTAAAATTCAGATCCTTCATCATACTGCTACCTCTCAGGCTGAACCTATCATTACTTAGTGGCCATCTATCAGCCAGCAAAGACGCAGACGATTTCCATCCTTAGAGAAAGTTCTCCTGGTTTCCAGAACCTAGATCATTTGCACCAGGAGCCTGGATATCCTGCTTGCCTGTTTTAGACTGCCACAATAGCTCCTTTTTTGAAACCCGTGTTTATGTAACTTTTTTGATGTTCTCGGGAGATGTTTTCCGCCTTTCCTGAAAGAAATTTTCTGTTTTAAGCTCTGATCAGTTCAGTTCTTTTTATTATTGTGGTGATCTGAAAATATACTCCAGGTGTGTCGAAGTCCCTGCTAGATGTAGTTTCCCTACTTAATTATAACTCAGACATGAAATCACAAGCAAATGATACAGAGGGGAGGTGTATATGTCAGGTTTTACTAGAGAAACAGGCATAACACAAGATATACAAATATATAAGAAATTACAAGATCGGCTAACCATGGTCACCCACAGAGTGCAGACACCCTCTGCCTGCTGGAAGCTGAAGGTTTCAGTCCAAGGTCCAGAGCTTACTGCAGTGTCCCATGAAAGTCTGTATCAGGAGGGCTGATGGGTCTGCAGTGAAGGCTGAAGAGTTTACACAGAAAGACTGAAGAGTCCCAGGCAGAAGCTGAACGACTCCAAAAAGCCAGGAGACTGCATCCAAGCTGAAGGTGAAGACTAGAGCTCCTAAAAAAACCCAGCAGTCAGCCATTCCTCCTTTGCCTTTTACTGTATGCAGGCTACCTGCCCCCAGTTGGGGGTGGAGGGTCCTTTAGACTCATACCATCTTTGTGCCCTACCCTTGTACAGGCCGAGGATGTTTACAAAGTAAGGATCCTGGCCCCCTGCTGAATCACTTAAATTTCTAAACTTCTCAAGTTGACACAATGAACAACATCCTAGAGCTGAAAGAGCTTGTCCCCCAGGATGCAGAGCTACTGAGTTATTTGTTTAAACTTCTAGACTTCTCAAGTTGACTGGATGTATCAACCATTACAGAGGGCTTTTTTTTTTTCCTTTGTTCTAAATTCTTGGGTAAGAGGATATTCTATCATAAATTGGTAACTACATTTCATGGAGCTTATCAACATTCAAAAAATTCTCTGAGATCTCAAATCAATGACACTTAAGAGCCCTCTCTATGATGTGCAGTTATAGCTTGAACAAAACCTCAGTAACACACATTAGACCTTAATGCAGAATATTACATAACAGTTACTGTGACAGAATTAGAACCTAAACCCCAGAAAAAGTCCTTCACTGTCCTGTCTTATATCATGGACCCAAATTGTGTATCAAATTCTTAGTTAAGTGAACTATGTAAGTTTTATAACTATTACATTGCTGTAAATATAGTGCATACATTTAAAGATGTTTAAAGTATTTTAAATAATTTTACAGGCTACACATATCAACCTGAATGTAATAAAAATTAAAAATAGTTTTTCTTTTAAAAGAGCTTGTCAGAACTTAGGCTTCTGTAACAAAAGTACCATAGACTGGGTTATTTAACAAATATTTAGGCGCTAGAGGTGTAGCCCACTGATACAGCTCAGGCAGGGAATCTGGGTTTGACCTTCAGCGCACAAAACAAAAACAAAAACAATATTCTTCATAGTAGTGCAAGTTACAAAGGCCAATATCAAGCTGCTGGCAGATCTAGTGTCTAGTTAGGGCTACTTCCTGGCTGTAGATAGCAGCTCCCTCCCTATCCTCAAAACTCCAAAGAGTCCTGGGACTTCTTGGTCTTCTAAAGACACAAATCCTACCATAGAAGTTTACAGCTCAGGACCTAATGTGCCCCCAACCACCGCCCCATTATCATCATAGTAGGGAATTTTAAAATATGGATTTTAGTGGGATTAAAAACATTCACACCTTAACAGAGTTTCAGAAGATACCACTTGTCAGATTCATAAGCCTGAATTGTTAGGTGCTTAGAAAACACTAAAAAATTACAAATTACTTATGCTTATAGTGTTTAATGATTGGGAAACTTATTCTGCCATGACTGAGTTGACAGAATATTAGTCAAAGAAGAAATTAAAATGATCAACTTTTTTTTACAAAAAATTTACAAAAACTAAGTAAGTCTACAAGCTTAAGAAAAATATATTTAAAATATTAAGAATTGCCAAATTGAATCCTGATAAAATAATAATACGCATTCCTTTTGTAAATTAATGTCTTCTCAGGAAGAAAAATTTAAAACATGGTGAAGGAAGCCAGGCATGAGCACATGCCTAGAGTCCCCGCAGCACTTGGGAGGCTGAGGTAAGACAATTGCTGTGTGAGTTCAAGGCCAGCCTGGGCTACATGGTAATTTCAAGGCCAACCTGAACATACAGGAAGGCTTGGTGAAGAAAGAAGGAGACGATGAAGGAGGAAGAGAGGAAAAGAAGAAGAAGGAGAAACATGGAGGGAATGGCACACTTCCTGTGCTTGTGTACATGGTACATGCTGTACACAATTGCTCCATCCTTAAAGTGACCTTCAAGAAATGAGTAAAATACAGATAGTAATGAAGCCTTAAAAGACAAATCACCTCTACCTGCCACCAAGGCCCCCCATTTACCCCCATTCCTTGCCGTATGACAGCACAAATGCATTGGGTTTTGTTGTTGCTGTTTTGTTGTTTTAAATGTCTTTTTGAGACAAGGTTTCACTATGCAGTTCAGACATGTCTTGAACTCACTTTGTAGGCGCAGGCTGCCCTTAAACTTGCAGTGATCCTCCTGCGTAGCCCCCACCCCCACCCCGCGCTAAGATTACACATGCACCACCACACTCTGCTTCAAGAAGTCTTTCTAACGTGGCTTTTAACTCAGTACTAAGTGAGAGTGCAGTGTGTTGGGCAGCTTTTGGTTGTTAAGGGGGAGAGAGATGAGAGAGAAAGGAGAGAAGAGAGGAGAGAAAAGACGAAGAAGGGGAGAAACAGCGAAAGAAAGGGAGAGGGCCAGGATCAAAATTTACTCTTGAAAGGCATTTCCCCAGTGACCTACTCCCTTCAGCTAAGCCCGCCTTCTAACAGATCACTCAGCCAATAGACCTACCGGTGGAGTCATCTACGGATGATGTCCAGTCACGTCTCCAGCGCTGCGCTACTTTGTAGAGCATTCAGTGCGTCTCTGGGGACCTTCATGTGTACTCATAACAGACACTTTGGGGATAAATGAATGTCTTCTAGAACTGATTCCGGTTGTTCAGCTCTGAATTTTCTAAAGAGCATTAAATTATACAGTGAATTTGAAAGTAAATTAGACCTCAGTAAAGCTGTTAAAGAATAAAGGGGCTCTAAAGTAGGAAGAAGGAGAAACGTTACCGCTAAGAAATTCTGTTTCCACCACTCCAGAAAAGTGATGTTGTTACAAGGAGCCTAGAAAAATGAATACATCCTCCAAAGTGAGCATTTGAGTAAAAGAGGGGAAAAAATAAAGAAATCAACTACAGAAATTTAATGCAGCGACAAGAATCAGTCACCTTTCAGTAAGAACTCTCAATATAAATGAGCTTAATTCCCCATTCAAAACACAAATTAGTGGCAGGTATCAAAAAAACTCAACTGTAGATTGTATATCAGAGAAACAACATATCAGTAAACACATGCATAGACTGAAAATCAAAGATTGGAAACTGATACTCTATACAAAAGGAATCCAAAAAAAAGCAAAAGTAGCTGTCCTGTTTCAGACAAAATAGACTTCGACCCAAAACTATTCAGAAGAGACCAAGAAGCACTACATACTGGTAAGGGGAGCAATTCCACAGAAGAGATAGTAATTGTAATTATACTGCCAAATGCTAGCACACGTATCTTCATACAATAAATACTACTGAACATGAGAGATCAGGTAAACATCAAAACCGTCCAGGGAAATTCAAAACCTCACTATCACAAATAACATTTAAACTACATTTGATAAAACAACAAAGTAATATAAAAGCTGACACACACTTTTGGACAAATGAACTTATTAGAGATTTATAGTGTTCCCCCAAAACAACAGTGTACCCATTTTCTAAGCAAAT